GGGAAGACACTAAACACATTTCTTAGAAACAGAATGCCCTTTTTTTCAGTAGAATAGGTTTAAAGACACATGGGAGAAGTAACACTTCTCAAGTAGCAGAGAACAAGTAACACGGGGGGAAAGGCAAGGAGACCTCCGGTCACAGTGACAGCCCTTTACCATGATGGCCATGTTAGGAGCATTTCCTCTACAGGTGACAGACTGGGGACACGGGCACGTGTTTGAACAAACCTGAGACTATTCTGAGTTCCTCATCCTAAGTCATTTATCTAGTATGGACCCACCACTGCTGACAGTTAGCCATCTGTAGAAGAACTGCTGTTGACAGTGACACAGAGCTGAAGCTGTGAGTCTTAGTGGCCGAATAATTGATCTAATTGTCTTCACTGTTCCCTCTTTTTTTTTTTATCGCAGAATCGGAAGACTGTTTGATGGTACAGAACCCATTGTTTTGGACAGTCTAAAACAGCACTATTTTATTGACAGAGATGGACAGATGTTCAGATATATCTTGAATTTTCTACGAACATCAAAACTCCTCATTCCTGATGATTTCAAGGTGAGGGAATCCATGTTAACAGTAAATTTGTGATTTGTTTTGATGTACTCCAAAACACTATCTCTAGTCCTACACCCTTGCCATGAACACCAACTCGAACGGCATCAGCAACCCCCTTCACATGGCTATTCTGTCTTTGGGAAGCAGAGTATATGGGCATTTAAGTTTTATAGGACCAGGAATCATTGGATTTTTACTTATTAAATTATATTTCATTTTAGGAAATTGAAAAGAAGTTGGTTAAATTCAAGTTCAATTTCTGCTATGTCTTAGCAATTTAGATAGTGAAAGGAACTTCTCAACTCAAAGAAAAATTTGTCTCCCAGAAATCTAAGTTTAATATTAGTAATATACTTTTAGAACTGTTCCTTTTAAACAGAGTAGCAAGTACTGGCATCAAGCAGAGTGAGAGAACCCTGGTAGGCAATGGAATTTGAACAGGGAGACATACAGAAAGTGTTAGTATTAGAAGAGAATACATGAAAATAGAATTTTTATGGCTGGTAATGTTTCTCTAAATAGGAGATTTTAAAAACTAATAATGCTGAATACTATTAGAACTAATAGAGAACTAATTAAAACATCTAAATTCAGAACCACTGCCCCACAATCAATATGTTGCCCATGGAATAGCAAGAATCAGTCATAGCATCTAACAGAAAAATGAACAACAGCGATTGTAATGTCCAGGTGGCAATAAACCTAATGAGAAATGTACAGAGTATATTTAAAAAAGGAATTTCTATTTTGAGGCACAAAGGATATATTTAAGACTTTTATACACAGGAATTTTTAAAAGATCCTTGTGAAGCAAGAAAGATCATATTCAAAAGAAGATGTCTTATTAGAAGAAATATTTGCAACAAAAGATTAATATCTATCATAAAAGACTTCCTCCAAATCTATAAAAGCATATAAACAATCTAGGGGAAATTTTTAGCTATGAACAAAGATTTTCCCAAAGGGAGAAAAAGATTTTGTCAGTAAATATTTAAAGTGATATTCAATCTCTCTCTAGTATCAAAGGTACAAAAAAAATGATACAATCCTTTTTATATAGTTTAACTAAAATTTTAAAGATTGATAGACACAGTGTTGGGGGAATGTACAGTGTGCTTGGGAGGAAAAATGACAAAACCTTCTTGGAGGACAATTCAGCAATAGCTATTAAAATTTCAAATATGCAGCAGGGCAGTGGTAATGCACTTCTTTAATCTCAGCACTCCGGAGGCAGAGGCAGGCGGATCTCTGTGAGTTCGAGACCAGTCTGGTCTACAGAGTGAGTGCCAGGGCAGCCAGGGCTATTACACAGAGAAACCCTGTCTTGAAAAAAATTTTTTTTCAAACATGCATGCTATCTAGCAATTCTATACTTATGAATCTGTCTCCTATAGATACTCACAAGAGCATATACACACATAAACATGTATGTAGCTGTAGTCATGTGTATAAAAGGAAAACTTAACAGGAGTTCAAAATCATCAAATGGTAGGAAATAATATAGAATATCCATATAATGGAATAATTTTAAAGAGTGTGGTTCATCTGTATCTGTTGATATATGGGGCAGAAACCATTCAGCGACAATAGCAAGTTATAAAATGATATGCAATGTGTTCCTAGTTATGTAAAATATCATGTATGTTGTGAATATTTGAAATGGCATCCTCTCAACACACAGACAGAGGTCACTTACCCTGCAGAACTGTGATGTATTAACCAAGTCTTTAGAGCCTGGGATGCAAAATTAGGAGTGCACCCTTGAAAGACCCTCAACACTTATTGCTCTCCGTGAGCAGCAAGCTCAGTAGTCGTCCTAACATTCTTTAAGAGGTGCAGTGGACTTGTACATCCCAACAGCAGCCATTACTCTCCTTAGTTTCTTTTGAAAGATGTATAGTTTTTCACGTAAAACAACCCCGCCCCCCCCACCACCATGTAACTCCTCTGTACTCTATTCCATTTGACTAATCCTTGGCATATGCACAATGTTTCAAATTCAGGTAAAAGGGCAGGACCGAGAGGCCCCTGAGCCCCTTATTAAAGACCTGATGACTTAACAGCAGTTCACCTAAAACTTGGTCATGGGGTGGGGAGGTGGCTCAGTGGGTAAAGGGCTTGCTGTGTAAGCGTGAGGACCTGAGTTCAAATCCTCAGTTTCCACATAAAAGCCCAGCACAGAGGGGCACAAAGAGAGGTGAACGATGGGAGCTCAAAGGTCTAGCTACAATGGTGAGTAGTTCCAGGCTCAGTTAAAGACCCTGTCTCAAAGACTAACAATAATAATAATGTAGAGATTGATAGAAGACAACTAGCATTGCCCTCAGACTTCCGTGTACCCCCTACACGTGTACATCCACATGTGTACACTCCCACACAAGAAGTAAATAAAAGAATAAATTCCAGCCATATAACCTTCTGAGTCTGGTGCTAAATATGCTGTACTAACTCGCTGCATGGTAATATTCTTATACACAGAGACACATGTTTTTCTGAAGGACATTGTATACTGTGCCCATGATAATTGCTTATTTAGCCACAGAAGTCACAGGAGGCCAGGTGCTGAGTGTCAATAGACAATACACATCTCTTCCAATCACATAGGAGTAACCTGAAAACAGAAAGCTTACATCTATATAATGTCATCATTTATAACTCTCATTTGTAACAGAGATGTGACTCCAGGGAACTGAAAGATGGTAAATTGGGAATTACTGTTAGAAAAATAAATACAGCCATTTATTTTTAATGGCAGCATATTTCAAGAAAGGAGCTCAGAAAGGCTTAACTCTTAGTCACAAACTTCCATGGGAGGAATTGTTCTGTCTCTAAGAATGTTCAGATTACATGCTGATATAACCAGTTCCAGAGGCCATGTCCTAGGGACTCACCCAGTCGCCTAGGACCAGGCCATTTATTTTACCATACCCTTGGGGTGTCCCCTAAGGATTCCTGAACCCCAAATATCTTCTGATCATCCACTCTAAGTACAGAACACATCTTTAGTTGATCATAGCCCAAGCTTTGGGGGAACCCCTCCAAAAAACCTTCTCAAAAGCAACTCAGATATCTGGGGGCATTAAAAAGTGTCCTTTGGAGTTGCTGGGAAATAGGATCTGCATCACAGTGTCTGGGCCTGAGGGCGAGCAGCAGGACAAAGGATGGGAGCTGAGATGGTCATTCAGCTCTGTGGCCCTTGATGGAATTAAACCAGAAAGAGCAGTTCAATTCCTGGGAAGCACACATGCCCATGTGAGCTGTCAGGATTTTCCTTCTGACCCTGGCAATGGGATCTGGCCTTGTCACATGGGAAGAACTGCTTTACATGTTTGCTAGAGACAATGATAATTGACTGCTTCCTTCTGGCTCCAGCCATTTAATGCTGGGTAAACAAGGGTGTGAAATCCTACACTATTAGCATTCTGCACCCATTAACATCCAGTTCCACAAATATGTCGTCTGTGCTAAAAGTCCACTTAATGATTCTGAATGTCATATTTCAGAAGCTTGTGTCCTGACTTCTACAGAAAGCCAGCTATCAGTGTTGGTGATTGCAGAACATCGCTGAGTGGTTTTCTGTGGATTTTACTGCCCTTCCTGTCATGATTCCATCCTCAAGTATAATGATTTGCTTATTGCTACTTCAGTCCTCACATTCAAGCACAAATGTGGGTTTGTAATTCCCAGTACTCCAGAAGTCTGGCACTTTGCTCTTATTCTTAAGAACCTATAAGATTCTCTGTCTCTCCAGCTTGTTGTTTTTAACATCTGTGATAACAGCCCTCCTGTGATCTCTGTCTATGAATATCCACCATTACTAGATTTTCAAAACTCCACTACCAGGCAGGCCTAGCTTATTGATCTACACTGTATCCAATACTTTTTAATATTATAGAAGTATGCATCTACTGTAGAAAAACTAAAGATATAAAAAAGCAAAAAACATTTATGCACTATATTCCCTCTGCTCAGATTTGCCAGTGTTAAAATCTGCCCTAGTTCACTTCTCTGTTGCTGTGATAAACACCATGACCAAAAGCAACTTGGAGAGGAAGGGGTTTGCTTGGCTTACAGTTACAATCCAGCATGAAGGCAAGCCAAGACAGGAACCTGGATGTAGGAACTGAAGCAGAGACCATGGAGGAGTACTGCTTATACGGGTTTTCTTCCTCTATCTTGCTCAGCTTATACAACCCCAGGACCATCCACCCAGGAATAGCACTGCCCATGGTAGAGTGGGCCCTCTTGCATCAATTAAACAATTAAGAAAATTCCCCCAGCCCAAAGGCCTGTCTGAAGGAGGCAGTTCCTCCTGTAACTCTCCCTCTTTGCAGATACATCAAGTGGACAACTGACGAGAACTATGACAGACTTTGCATAGCCCTCTGGATCTTTTCCTGTACTTATTTTAACAATTTTCTACCATCCCTTTTTACTAAATCTTATTTCATGTAATACCATAACCACACTGAAGTTTATTTGGTTGATCCCAGAAATGTCCTGTACAAGTAGTTTTTCTGAGATACTGCCTGATGACATCTTGGGTGAGAATTTACAGCTCATCACTCTCTGAACTGTATAGTAAGATTCCTACTCAACTTAGCAATGAGGCTTGGCCAGCTGTCCCACAGAATGGCTTGTCATCTAGACTTGCCTGTTTGCCATTCCTACAGTTTAGCTCATTCAGTCTTCTGATTTCATTTGACCTGGAAATCATATCTGAAGGCCTTGTAGGTTCAGCAACTTGCCAAGAACACATACCCTGTGATAGTGTGTGCTTCATGGTATAGCACATGAGCAAGCTTGTGGCCAGCCTATGATGCTAGGGTTGAACTTTGCCAGATACTGGGGCACATGCCCTCGGGCTGCAGTAGAAATGAGCTCTGTGAAGCTGACTTTTCAACCTCCGCATGGCCAACATTTGTGGCCAAGTGATTCTCTGGGGTTGGGCTGTCCTGTACAATGCAGGACTTTGATCAGGTTTCCTGGCCTCTCCCCCC